CTACCAAATATCTGTTGCAAATGTTAAGAACAATAATGATGTGGTGGAGAAGGCACTTGGAGAATGAACATCTTAGTCTCCAAAGACACCTTGTTGCTGACCTCAAAGTGGTTATTGTAGAGAACCAGATATGCATCAAAAGGGTATTAATTGTGCTGAAATACAATTCTTTAAAGTGTCACAGGACTCTCTTGGGCTCCCTCAACCTCTTGATTGCTTTACAATCTCATGAAAATTCAAGTGAGGTAACAGTATTCAGCACAGAGTAATGAACTTTTACACTAGCATTGTGCACAAACAGGATTCTAGTGAAGCTTTGTATGTCCCAACCGGTCCTTACTTTCTCTTGTTGTCAGTATTGGATTTTCCAAAACGCCCACCCTGGAGTTACCAGATGTCCAAGGAGCAGCTATTGGCCCGAGAGGAGAAGTGCTTTCGGGAATACCTAGAGAATATCTATGCTACATTCCAGCCAAGCCAGCTAAGTTACTTTGAACACAATCTGGAGGTGAGCCTTTCAGAGTTTCAAGGGAAAGCTTGGGTGGTGCAGTATTCTTATAGTCAATCCACTTTTTAATCCACTTTCTTAGACCTGTGAGACAAAATATGACTTGGTATGTTTATATCCAAATAAAATTTTAGTGTCTTTGGAGCTAGTATTGATGGGATACCTCTGATTTCAAGAGAACATACAATATCTCTGTTGAAACACCTCCCCTGGCTGCCAGTTTGTCTCTGGGCACAATTCAAAGTGCTGGTTATTACCTCTAAATCCCCATATGGCTCATGTCTAGGCTATTTGACAGATTGTATCTCCCTGTATGAGCCAGGCTGGGCTTGAGATCATCAGGAGAGACCCTTTTCTCAGTCTCACCACTACCACAAGTATGGTTGTTGGGGATGCAAGAGAGGGCATTCTCAGTGGCTGCCCCTGGAGTCTGAGACTCCCTTCCCAGAGAGGCCAGAATGGCCTTCTCCTTGTTGGTCTTCTGGTGGTTGGCTAAACCTTTTTATTCCCACAGGCTTGTAAATCAGAAAGTTTTATAAGAATGGGCTGGGGGGATGCTGTAATGTTTTAACAATTGCTTTAAAGAGCTTTTATCTTTTTAAATTGCATTTTATTCTTTTATTGTGTGATCCATTTTAATACTATAATAATTTATTTTTATGCTAACTTTTTGTTTGTTTTTAATTGTATTGTTCTTTTAAATTGGGAGCCTCTTTGAGTCCCAATTTTTGGGGGAAAGGGGGATATAAATAAATATATTGGGGGGAGCAGCAGCATCAGCTTTGTAAAAGGTGTAACTTAAAGAGCTGAGGAGACCAAGATTAAAATAGAGTGCAAAATTCAGAGCTTTTAATTGTACTTTTCTGTTTGTTTTGTTATCAGGGGTGTCACTATGGGGAAACAAAACATTGACCCCCATATAAGAATTCTACCCCCATATGACATTTTCCTTCAGTCCCCAAATTTCTAGCATTGCAGAATTTAAAATAGCTGAACTTTTAGAAATACAGTTTTGGCATGCAAAGTAAAGGGACAGGCAAAATGGCCAAGGGAATGCAAGCACAGCACATACCAGAGTTCTACTTGTGCATGCTTTTCAGTGTCTCACTTTCTTCAATGCTAGAAGCTTGGGGCTGGTCAGAAAATTTCATTAGTAGGACATAATTCCTAGTTGGGGTGGCAAAGCCCTTATTCCTTCCTCTCATAGCTTAGAGCTACTCTTCTGTGAACCACAGCTTCCAGAATCCCTGAGCCAGCACTGATGAATAAATTTACTGACTGATGGGCTCAGTGGGACAGGAAAAATGGCACACAGATCTTTTCTTATCTTCTGTTGTTGTTTTTTTCCCCTTACAGACTTGGAGGCAGCTGTGGCGAGTACTGGAGATGTCAGACATTGTGTTGCTCATTACAGACATCCGGCACCCGGTAAAGACTCCTTCGCATGCTGTTGATGATTTGACTGCCAGTTCTTGTTCGCCTCTGTTCACGCAGACTGTTGGCTCAGTTTATCAAATCTTTTCATGTGCTTGGACTCACCAAGCAGGAAGCCTGTATGCGTTCCTTTCAAGAATTCAAGCAGAAAACAAATCCTATGAAAGCTTCTAATTTCATAGAATCTAGTCCACTTTTTACACAGCTCTTGAGTGAAGTATATAAGAGCACAATACTCAACAATATATGCAGCCATGGAAACCTATCTTCATGACAACCCTGTGCATGGGTTATAGATATTACTTTTTGGGACTACCGTATATACTCGTGTACAAGTTGAGAATTTTTAGGCCAAAAATTGACCCCAAAAACCTGGGTTGACTTATACACGGGACAATACAGTACTTGACCCTGCAGCCTCTCCCCAGCCAGGCTCCTTCCGTGGGGGAAAGCCCAGCTGGGGAGAGGCTAGGAAGGGCGATTGATCGCTCTGCAACCTGTCCCCAGCCAGGCTGCCTCCTGAAGTCTGACCTAGACTTACCTATGGGTCATACTAATACCAATAATTTTGGCCCCAAAAGTTGAACTTGACTTATACAAAAGGTAAACTTCTAGTTGAATATATACAGTATATCTCCCAGAATTCCCAAGGGTTATTCTGGCTGCAGGCTTTAGAGACTGTTGT